CTCGGGCGCCGGGGGGGGGCGGTAAAACGAGCAAAGTCCCCCACACTCTCCCACGCTGCCGGTCCCGGCGGGGGTGCCGGGGGGTGAGAGGAGGGGCTTTCCGCGCTGGGAAGCTGGCGGGCAGCCCCAGCCTCGTTTTCTGAAAGTCGCGCGGGTATTTTTGAGGGCAAATCGCTCGTTTAACGGAGTCGTCGGGGCAGCTGGGCCCCGCGGACCGCCTCCCCCGCCCCGCTCCGGGCGGCAGCCGCCCTGTCCCGCGTCCCCGCGCCCCCGCATCCCGCCCGCGCCCGAGGCACGCCGGCAAAGTTCGTCACGGGGCAAAGAAAAATCACCGCCGAAACGTTAAAGCCCCCGGACCCGGGCTGGAAGGAGCCGCCGTCGGGGCGGTCCCGCTGCGGCCGGGATGGGATGGCTTTCGGCGGGTGCTCCGGTTCGTAGCGGGGACCGGCGTGCACGGTACCTGCGAGCCAAAAAAGGGTTTAAACCAAGTGCTGGTTGCGTCTACTTAAAAAGAAAAAAGAAAGAAAGAAAGAAAAGCCCCAACAGCCATAAACACGTTTTTATTTTCTTTTGTAGCCAATGACAGTGATTTGTTAATGGAAGAGGGAATGGCGTTCACAATAGGTTAGTAACCCTCTGCTATGGTTTGTTCTTTTTTTTTTTTTTCTTTAAAAAAGCACACACGGGGCAGCCCAGATCCGTACCGTTTCTTTATTGGGATATAGAAATATCCACGCAGGTAGGGGGACGTCGGCGACACTGACCCCTTAGGAAGCCGATTAAAATTTCATTTTTAAAGAATGCATTAAGGAACCAATTGGGTGAAATAGCTTCCAAATGATAAGTGTTAGAAAATGAAATGCTTATTATAAATCTTCTTAAATGACATATTTGGCGCCTATTTTTGGCAAGGCGGAGACTCTGCCGGCATACTTGGGCTGTGGAGGATGAGAAGGATGCGATTGTGTCCCCGAAGCCGTGGTTCACCAGCAAGCAGCCTGGTGGCTCTTATGTCATTTGCTGCCTGCCAGAGCTGCTGTTTGGGTTTGGGGACTGCAGCGCCGGGAACCAGTCAGAGCCTGGCCCCGCAGACTGAACGTGCTAAATACCAATCATGGAGAGCTGATGGGGGAAAAGCCCTCTTTCTCACTGTGTGGCTAAATGGCGCGGCAATTAGAGGGAAATAAGAAAATTGTTGTTTTGCTGATTTAATGAACATTTTAAGCCTGTCTAAAAAAATTCAAATATTTAAAACTATCTGCTGTTTAGAAGTGTGGTTGGTGCTTTGGTTATTATTATCCACGAGGTCTTAATTAAAGCTTGATTAAAATTCCACGCTTTTACAAAAGAGGAATGGGCAACTTCCTACCTTGATATTTCGTCTTCCTCTTTAGTTCACATTTTAGTGTTGCAAGAGAGTGCCGCCCCAGGGAGGACAGGACCTGTGAGGAAGGGGAGCTACCTGCTGGGACACCCCCCCTTTCTTGCTTGCTTCACAGTCCACACAGGAATGCAACTAACTTTAGAATACATTTTGTTTTTCTTGCTGCAGAGCCAATAATAATGGAAGGATCCCCCGAATTTAAGATTCTGAAGGATAAATGGACTGCAGTTTCTGTAGACAATAAAAGGTGCCTGATATTATTTTTTTGATCTTTCCTAAGCTGTGGAACTGATCACTGACAGCTGAAAAAAAGAACGGGTGAGTTTAACGGGCGTGGTGGCCATGTTTGCCCCCTAATAACTGCTAAATGTGCATTTCAGATCAGCGCAGTTTGAACATACCGTTGTGATTACCTCAGAGGGAGCAGAAATCCTCTCTAAACTGGTGGAAGAAGCCTAAAGATGGAGCAAGGAGTGGAGGCACTTGCTGTACTTCTGGGATTTCCAGATTCATTCAGGACAGAGAGGAGGTTTCTGTAATTTCTGTGGGGAATGGGTGCTGCCTAAATTGCTGCAGGAGACAGAAAAAGCAGCTTGAGGACATAGTCCTTTCTGTGTGTTACCTGGTGGGTATTTAATAAAAGTCCCTTGGCTTGTTTGTGACACTGGAAGCAGCCACACACAGCCTGCAAGTGCAAAGGGTTTGGGTTATTTGGGGTGAGGGGCAGAGAGCAGGTCCCCTCTCTTCCAAATCCTATGTGGGACAAACACATATCAGATGACACTGTCTCTGTGCAGCTGAGAGGACAGAGGAGTATAGTATTTTCCCTTTATAGCTGAGCTATGGAGTCAATTTGTCTTCACTGCGATTAGCACAGTGCTGTTTCCCAGGCTGTAACTTCTGCTAGGATGGAAAAAAGTTTCCCAAGGGTGGCAGGCAGAGAGGCAGCAGCCTCTTCCCCCGCAGCCTTCTCAGCAGCAGTCCCCCCCTTCCTGCCTCGGCTAATTTCTCTTTGCACAGCACAAAAAATGATTAAAAATTAGATGCGAAGCATGCCTCTCTGGAGATCAATAATTGCCCTGCTTGAAGAATTAGCCGGTTTGGGGTAATCACGGCTCTGCGGTGCCCACGTTAGTTAAGGGAGAGGCACTCCACAGTTCAAGCATTTAACAAAAACGGAGGAGCCTGTGGCCTGGAGGATGAGCCCCGGCTCCTGCCCGGAGTTTGGAGCTGATGGTCCTCATGAGCTGCAGGTCCCGCTCGTCCCCATGCTCACTGAGGTCCTGCCCCGGGCCTGCCAGGGGTGGAGGGTTTGATTTGCAATTAGCCGGTTGCTGACCGCCCCGTCGGGCTGGATGGGTCTGGCCTTGGTACTTAGAGGCTACCAGAGCAGGATCTGGTCCTGTGAAATGCAGGGTAGCCTTGGAGATAAGCAAGTGACATCTAGAAGTGCCCCAGACCCACGGCAGCAGCGGGTGCAGTTTTGGTACAAATAACTTGCCTTTAATCGTAGGCAGATGCGGTGCCATGCTGAGGGCTGGCCGGTTGCACATGCAGGCGAGGGGGGCTGCTCAACACCGGCTCCCTCAGTGGTTCAGGGCAGAAGTAAGCCGCTTTCTTACAGCTTTACTCTGCTGTTTGTTTTCACTCGAGTACAGCGAGCTGTCAGCTCCAATAGTTTCTAACAGCATCTTTTCAAAAAGCAGGACCCCCCCAGAACACGGCTAACGCCGCGGGGCAGCCGCTCAGCTCCGTCCTCCCCGAGAGGAGCTTGGAAGGCCTTAAAACCTGTAAAAACAAACGATGCAGCCAACAAGTTCACCAATACACAGAGGTTAAGCAGCGCGCTGCGGACGTGGGAGGCGAGGGGCACCCAGCACTGCCCGGGGAGGGAGGGGGGGAATTCATTTTGTTCCCCGACACCCCGCCGCCCGGCCGCGCTGCCCCCTCCGAGGGGGGCTGGGGGTCCCGCGCGTCCCGGGGACAGACCAGGGGGGCCTCCCGGGGGCGGTGGCCGCGCCGGGAGCCCCTGGCTGGCACCGCAGGTGCTAAGCTTCTCCCCGTCCGTCCCCTGCCCCTCGGCCGTGCCGCCTCTGCCGCCGTCCCGCGCTTACCGCGGCGTGGGGTGAGGCGGGCACGGGGCAGCCGGGAACAGGGACACCCCCCCGCCCCCTGCCCCGCAGCCCGGTGTAAGGGGACTGCTGGCGGCTCCTGGTAGTCGCCGTTTGCTCCGAGGTCGCCCCGGTAACTCTGATGGGACTGCGGGTTTTACCGGCCGCTGCGGAGCGGTGGCGGCCAGGCGCTGGCACTGACGGCGCACGGTCGTGATCCTAATTGCGAAGGAGACTCAAGAGGTGCGTCGGCTGCGCGGGGACAGCCAGCGCCTCGCACAAGCCCCTCACGCAGGGGGGACTTGCCGGGCAAGCGCGGTGAGAGCCCCGACGGGGCGATCGCCCCCGCGGGGTCGGGGCGTCCCGCGGCCCCTTCGCGCCCGCCGAAGCCGCGCTGCCCGGGGCCGGCGTTGCGCGGAGGGGCGGCGGTGGCCCTGCTCCGGAGGACGGGGCTGCGAGCAGAGCCGCGCCGTCCGGTCCGCGGGGTTTTGGCGGCGCCGGCGGGACTGCGCTTCGCCCCGGGACTGCCTGCGCCCGGCCGACCGGAGGAGACCCGGCGAGCACGGAGCAGCCTCCCCTCCCCGCAGCCGCCGGGCTGGAGGCCGGCGAAGGTGCCGGAGCTGCCGGGGCGCCCCGTCCCCTCCTGGGAGAAGCGCGCAGACCCGCCTCGGGCGGTCACTTACATGGCCGGGGGGGCAGCAGAGCCGGCTGCCGGAGGAGTCCGTGTGGGGACACACCGCTACCGCCCCTTCCCGCGCCCAGCCGCGGCGATTTTGTGAAAATGAACTTTGCGCGTCGCGAGCAAAACAAAAAGGGGCGGAAAAAAAAAAAAAAGGAGAGGGGAGGAAGTAAAAGAGGCGTTAGGAAATGGGCAATTAAAACCGACAGAGCCACTAATGAAAGAAAAAAAAAAAAAGACCGGGAGCAGAGGGGCTCGGTCTTGTCAGCTTTGCACAGCCAGGAGCCGGTTGCTTCGAGGACCGTGGCTGCCCGAAGGAGCCCGAACACGGCGCGGGCGCTGCCGGGGGTGGCCCAGCCCCGCTGCCGGCAGTGCCCGCCGCCGCCGGCGGGGGAAGGCAGGTCGGCACTAATACCTCTAACGACATCAGCGCCGCGATTTGTTTTGAATGTTCACTTTTATTGGTGTTCTCCCTTTGCCAAAATGTGCTTGATTACATAGACGTGGTGCCGTGATAACTGCGCGCTCTAGACGGCCTAGGTGTAACCGGGAAAGTTCAGCCCAGGCCAGATCAAATCCCAGGCTGTTTAATGCTGGAAGGCTGCATGTTGCTATTAGTGTTAAATATATGGCTAATTATGCGTATGAAAATTAAACATCAGTGTTATGCTAATGGGGCCGCCTTCAGCTGTGGATCAGAGCACTTGAGACTAGCATTTAATCAAATGAATCAGTAACTAATACATCTGCACGTGTGAACTTTCACAAGATCATTTTCCTGTTACAGTCACACCGCTGAATTATGAAAGAAATAATTATCAACACTTTCTAATTATCTAACAAAGTAATTTGGGATTCATCGTGGGCTTTCTGGGGAGGATCTCCCAAGTCCCACCTCATTTACCGCTCACGCACGCGGAAGTTTCCATTTTAAGCTCAAATGCGCCGTTTGGCCCGTTCGGGGCGATTTTTGTTTCGCTGGGCTTTTTTCTTCCCCTTTACGGACGACCATGGCAGTAACCGGGCAGCGCGCCCCCGGGGTGCGGGTGGCGCTGGGACCCGCGGGCCGGAGCGGAGAGCCCCTGCGCGCCCGCGGAGCGTGCGCGGCCGGGCAGGCGGGGGGTCGCCGGCTTTGTCCGCG